ATCTGTTATGTTCTGCAACTGAACACACACACACACACACACACACACACATATATATATATATATGAGGATGCAAGTGGATTCTGATCAAGTGGGCAAATTGGCAAACACTACACGCATTGTCACGAAATTCAACAAGATGGGTACATGAGGGATTGTTGATTGGTTCAAGCGGTTAAATTGATTATTGTTACTCTTACTTTGTAATGACAAACAGGGGTTGACAGGTGCGGTCCCACGGACGAAGCGCGCCAAAGCAGGGAAGCCCAAGTGAGGTTCCATCCCAAAATCAATTGGTGGTAGGAGGAGTAGCCCACTAGGCTTATAAGTTAGGCCTATTTTCCCTGTATAGACGATGTGGGAAAACTCACAAGTATATATATTCTAACATCCCCCCTCACTTGTGAGTCCTTCGGAAGCCCAAGCCCAACAGTAGTAGCCCCACATGTTTTCTAACAGTTCCTCCATTTACACTTATTTTCTAACAATTCCCCACATAAGTGTAAATCAAATGTATCAATGTATACAGACTCTTATGCTCAATCCTAACAAGACTCTAATGCATCAAAAAAGTTAGTTTGTGACTTTGAACCTTTTTTAGCAAACATCTTTGGATGTACTGGCGGCTTAGTGGACATAGTGCCTTGAACTATTCCTCCATAGTGTACACCAAGACAATAACATTCACACAATAAAGTCTTAACTCCATTACGTTCTATTGGTTTTTCCGTCTTGGCCATAGATAACACTTTGGATTCATAAGTGTTTATATTTAAAGTGGCCCTCACTTCACACTTATATAGATGACCTCCCTATCAAGACTAGCCTGTATTACTCCACCTTTAAGAGGTTAGAGATTCATTACAAGTCCATATGACTTATCCTCACTACAATCAACAGGTAATCTTGCACTTGGATTGCTTTAGAGAATAACTTTGGACATTCTTATATTTAAAGTGCTCAACTGAATTTTCATAACTTAGTTTTCCCTTGAAACAAGTAATGAGATCTCCATTAAGCAAGGTAGAGTTACCACTATGGTCATTATTTTCACTGTAGATTTTTAAGCCAATTCCTTCTAGCAATATTCCCAATTGATCTTTATTAATTTTTTTAATAAAGGATCAGCCAAATTTTCTTTAAGAATCCCACAACCTTCTTCACTTCATCTCGCACTCATTTACAGTCACCAAGCAAACCCCACCGCTCCTCCCTGTCATCTCCATCTGCCCCACATACCAGCATGAGAAAAGAGCCCAATTCAGGTACAACCTGAGCCCGAGATTGCCGCATCAAAGAGTGACATGCTGTGGGGAAAATGTGCTCCTCATGATACACTTACAAACTGATACAACAATATATAGCTCACTACATGAACACAACCTTCCTCGGCACCATGAACCCTGGCAACCTCTCCCGGCAGTGCTGCACGATCTCCTCCTCGTCCGCCCCCTTCTGCAGCACCACAAACAGGCACCGGCTATCCCTCCACCTCGCGTGCGGCATCATCACCACCGTCGCCTCCCCCACCGCTGGGTGCTTATACAACATCGCCTCCACCTCCACGCTGCTCACGTCCTTTCACCGATCCGGGTGGACCACCCCCCACATCCCCCGTGTCCATCCACCCGCTCTCCCTCCTAAGGCTGCCTGCGTGGCACCCTAGTCCTTCAGGTACTCCTTCATCACCCCGCTCCTCCTCACCACGACCTCCTCGATCGTAATATTATCCGCGACACAAAGGGAGAGAATAGAAGACGACGACGCTTTTCCAGGCGTTGGTGGACCAGAGGTGGTGGTTGCGCTTGTTGACGGAGGTCGCAGGTGGATTTGGGAAAACAGGTGTGGGGTTTCTGGTTCGGGTCGAATGGGTCGACGCATGGCGAGCTGAAAATCTCGATCTTTAGGTTCGCCCATTTTCGAATCTATGTATGTTCTTCTTTGCGAAGTCCGAGCGCCGACTTGGGCGAGTTAACCAGTCTCAGGATTTTGAGATAATTTGGAAGTGAGAGGGGTTGAATGTGATGGAATATGGGATTTGGGGATTGATCGTGAAGCCCCTTAATTGTTTTTTCTTTTTTCTATGAAAAACTTGTATAAAGCCACCTCATATGCCATGTAGGAATTAATAAATGTAATTAATAAAGCCATCTCATATGCCACATCATATTGTGGCATGACTTATGGTGCCCGTATGGGTGCCATAGAGTTTCTAGTTAAGTTATGGGCCCAAACTTATAAGAGCATCCACAATGTTTTGGGTTTTTTCAAGAAAATATATAGGCCACGTAGGAAAAGACCCAGACTAAAAAAATATTTACTCAAATGAAAATGCAATTGGATTGAGTCTTGCTATGTGACAGCAAAAAAATGAGACCCGGTCTACCCTTGAGTCTATTTTAGACCTAAGTAGAGACCTAGTCTCTTTGCATCAGAGTTAATTGAATTACTTTTCAATATTTTTGTCCATGTCATCCAAGACTTTAAGTCTATTTATATGCCATGTCATCCAAGACTTTAAGTCCATGAGACCCGGACTATTTATATTTTTGTCCATGAGACCCGGTCTACCCTTGAGTTTATTTTAGACCTAAGTAGAGAACTAGGGGGTGTATTCAATTGGAAATTTAAGAGACATTTTAAGACTTTTCGAGATTTGAAACTTCTTAGGATTTTCAGATTTGAGAAGAATTTTATGAAATCTTAAGTCTAGAGGTAGGATTTGGAGTGGGATTTCATATGAGGTTTTTTGTTTAGAAATCCCATCAAATCTTAAGAAATCTTAATAAATCTTAGTGTCAAATAAATTAAATACCTCAGGATTTTATAAGACTTTTGAAAATTCCAATTGAATATCCCAAGATTTTTAAAAGTCTTAACAAATCTAAATTGAATACACCAGAATTTCTAAAGTCTTAAAAAATTCTTAAAAATCCTAATTAAATACACCCCTCTAGTCTCTTTGCATCGGAGTTAATTGAATTACTTTTCAATATTTTTGTCCATTCATCCAAGACTTTAAGTACTTGTTTGGGAGCACTTCTGAAAAAGTCCATTTAAGATATGGACTTATGCAAAATGGACTTCTCCAAAAGTCTCCATCATTTACTTTTACAGAATGGACTTTTTAGAGAAACAACTTATTCGTAAGGGGAAAAATACATACATAACCCCTAGTCTAGATCTATTTACATAAATACAATTCGTAGAAAACATAATCAAAAGAGGAATAATTATTGATTTCTTTTTCATTTATACGAGATTGTGAAATCTGGTTCTCTCTCCGTATAATAGTTTTCTCTCTCCATATATTGAAAGGCGAGAAAATCACGCAGAGAAGAGAAAATGGTAAACGATTGAAAGAGATGGCGATCGTGATTACCTATACTTCAGGAAATCACGAATTCAAATTTAAAAAACGGGATTATCATATCAACGGATTCGTGCGTGCAAAAAAAAAGCAGAGTGAAAAAAAAAACCAAACGAGGTTGTTCGTGAAAATTGATCGTGAAATAGCCGTGGATTGAAAGACATCTGAAGGTATATTCATATTCATATAGTTAACTTCGTTGTTTGGTGATGGATTACAAGATTATAGTTTTTTTTTTTAAAAAAAGAATTTAAGCTTTCGTTTGAGATGAATATTGAAAGCTGAAGGTACAAAAACGAATTTGTTGGTATTTTTTTTTTTTATTTTAGATGGCGTTTTTTTTTGTAATTTCAGATTTCGTTTTTCTTTTTTATAATTGATCGGGAATTTCGCCATTTTAGCTATCGATCGTGAATTTTGTTTTTTGTATTTTCAGATTCATGTTTATTCATGTCGTTTTTTTTTTGTGACCCTGTTTATTTTTCAGGAACATGAATGATGTAAATGTATTTTTACATCATAATGGAGTATGGATCAACAATGAATACGTGAACTATGATGTCGGAGGTATTTTGATTAGTTCATCATGTAACTACAATCAACTCCGAGCTATTGTTTTTGATAAACTGAAGGTAAACGCGTATTCAAATGATCTGGAGATGAAGTATCAAGTGAAAGATGGATATCTAGCTATGAGTGTGGATGATGATAGCAGCCTACATTTCTATATTTTATTGAAGTCGAAGGAGTGTGATTACACAAAGTTGCCCTTGTGTGTGGTTTTAAAACAATTAATAAACGTATCCTCACCCGTTCGAGGCATAATGCCAATGTCTACATATCCGTCTGTGTGTGATATAGAAGGGTTAAAATGTCTTGAACAGGAATGGGGGGAAACTGAAAAAGATGAATTTTATAGAGCATTTGCCGAACATGCTGCGGATTCAATGCTGGAAACAGTAAAGTATACGGAAGATAAACAGGAGATAAACAACTCCATAACACTTGAATGTGGTGTCGATGGAAGTATGATTCGGGATGTTGTGGTCGGCCAAACTTTCAGAGATAAAAATGAAGTGATGAAGTTGCTCAGCCATCATGCAATAACAAACCAATACCAGTTCAAAGTGGAGAAGTCTTGTCCGAAGCAGTACTACGTCAAGTGCATATGTACGGAATGCAAATGGTATGTTAAAGCGTCAAGGGTAGGAAATTCCAACATTTTCAAGATTCGGGATGTGGGGCGCAACCATTCATGTCCATTTGAAATACATACAAGTGGTCAACGACAGGCTACGTCCAACATTGTAAGTGGGTTCATTCGATCGAGATTCACAAATTTGAAGACAACTTATGTTCCAGGGGACATAATACACGACATGCAAGTTCAACATGGAATAGAGTTGTCTTACCAGAAGGCATGGAGGTCAAAGAAAAAAGCTATAGAAGAAGTGAGAGGTAATCCAGAAATGTCTTATGGTAAAATAAACGAGTACTTGCAAAAACTTTGTGAATCGAACCCACATAGTGTCGTGAGATTGTCTGCCACATCGGACCAACACTTCATGTACGTATTCATGTGTCTTAATGCTTCAATTAAAGGTTGGAATCATTGTAGACCTATTATTGTTGTCGATGGGACTTTCCTTAGTTCGGCATATGGAGGGATATTGCTTACAGCATGTTGTCAAGATGCCAACTCCCATATACTTCCATTGGCATTCTGCATTGTTGATTCTGAGAATAATGATTCATACACATGGTTCTTTTCAAAGTTAAGGGAAGCACTTACTGTCCGGGAAGGTTTGTGCATTGTCTCTGATGGACATGAAAGTATAAAACATGCAGTTGCAAAGGTATACTTCTGACCTCTTGGGTATATAAACGTAATATATACAGTAAGTAAACAAACTCATATGTCTGACCTCTTGGGTATATAAACGTAATATTTACATTAAGTAATCAAACTCATATGTTTGACCTCTTGTGTATATAAACGTATTATATCCAGTAAGTAAACAAACTCATATGTCTGACCTCTTGGGTATATAAACGTAATATATACAGTAAATAAACAAACTCATATTGTTGTAATCTTTGTCTTGATTATTTAAATATATTTTATTTATCATGCAGGTATATCCAGAGGCTTCACATTGTTTATGTGCCTATCATATATCGAACAACTTGCGGACACATTTCAAGAAAGAACCAAGCGCTGTTAAGGATGCCTTTAATGCAGCTGCGAGGGCATACACTGTTGATGATTACAATCATCATATGGTGGATATAAAAAATCTTGATCCTCGGGTACCCCCGTTTTTGGAGAAAATTGGAATACATAAATGGGCAAGGATTCATTGTCCAAGCAACAGGTATTTTACTATGACGTCCAATGCGGCAGAAGCAATTAACTCCGCCACGCGAGAGATCCGTGACTTACCAATAACAACACTTTTGGAGTCATTGAGATCTTTACAACAAAAGTGGAATGTGGCTAATAGAGATGAAGCAGCGTCGACGTTTACAACGTTAGCAAAGAAGGCTCACAAGACGCTCAAAAACAATTATAAAGTAGCTGCCAGCTTTTCGGTGAGATACATTAAATTATATAACATTATGTTGTTTTTTAATATACATAAATTTACATATAAATATGTATATATACCATTTATTACACGATGTATCATTCGAAACTGTTTTTTATTTTTTTTCTTTTAGATACAAAAGGCAAGCGACAAGGTGTTTAAGGTGTCATCCGACAGAAGTGGATATGTAGTAAATTTGGAGACGAAGTCTTGCACATGCAATCGTTTCCAGATGGATGAATTGCCTTGTCCACATGCCATCCGAGTGATTAGAGCCCTTCATTTGGATCCAGTTCCATTTTGTTCAATACATTACTTAACGGATACTCTGCTAGCTACATATGCAGAACCAGTTTTCCCTATTGAGACAAGCCAAAAATGCAGCGCGGTTAATTCTGATGTCATTGGAAATATCAATCCACCTACTGGAAGAGTGAGGCCAGGAAGTCGGCTACAGCAAAGACTCAAGCCAGGATGGGAGTCTCGGGTAAAAAATAGGTGCAGCAAATGTGGTGGAAAAGGGCATAATGTAAAGACATGTTCAAATCCGAAGAGCGTTAAACAAAATTAGTTTGATGTGTTTACTTAATGTTTACGTTTTCATAATATTACTGACATTTTCATTATGGTTGTTTCGTTATTCCTTACTTTTGGTACATTTGTACTGGAGTATTTTATAAAAAAAAAATGAATGGTGAAATTCAAACCTACATAAGTTGTACATATAAGAATATGGGGCCAGTGGTTATTTGGTACATTTGTGTGTCTTATGAGTATAAATAAAAATTAAATAAGTAACAATCATGTACTCGAGTTGACAACACAGTATAATATACGTTAGATAAACAGGGTACTTAAAATATGTAATATACATTAGTTAAACACGTATGTGTACTAATGTCTATATGTTATGTTTACAACACGGGATAATATACGTTAGATAAACACATTACTTAAAGTATGTAATATACAACATGGCATAATATACGTTAGATAAACAATATGTGTGCTTATGTATACTTTAGATAAACAGAGTACTTAAAGTATGTAATATACATTAGTTAAACACGTATGTGTGCTTATGTCTATATGTTATGTTGACAACACGGGATAATATACGTTAGATAAACACATTACTTAAAGTATGTAATATACAACACGGCATAATATACGTTAGATAAACAATATGTGTGCTTATGTCCCTATTTTATCATTACAACACGGCATAAAATACGTTAGGTAAACACATTACTTAATTTATTTATAATATACGTTAGGTAAACACATTACCTAAAGTATGTGTGTGTATGTCTGCAAAAAAAAAGATCGGATAGGTTAAGATCGTGCAAAATCAAATATTTAAATCAATAGCACCAATATACATTCACTGAAGTTCACCAGAAAAAAGTAAAAAAAAATAAAAAAAAAAAATCAAAAAACGAAACAAAACATAATGCCAATAGTACCAACATGGTTNAAAAAAAAAAGCAAAAAATGCAACAAAACATAATGCCAAATAGTATCAACATGGTTCAACTCTCCATACACAAGATAAACAGTACTCCTTCAAAAGGTAGGCATATTCTAACTAACTGATGCGAGCTTTGCACGTTCTATCTCATCAAGCGTCCCAGGGGATCCATCATCGCTCTCACACGAATATTTTTGCTTCATACGACCATGTTGGTATAGCTCGTATGAGTACCTCATCCTCTCCGTGTCGGGAAGATAGTTGGTCGGGAGATCAAACTTAGTGATGAAGTATTCGGCAAATGAGGCAACAAATACTCCGCAATCACTGATAATAAAAAAAAAATGTATAAAGCATGTTAATAAAACGTTAAAATTTACATGGATAAGTACGTAAAGGATGATACAAAAATTAATAGACTTTACCCTTGCTCCTGCTGAGGAAGATTTTCAGCCATAATAACATCAAGTGGATCATTCACCCCTTTTCCATCGAATGCTTCTCCCACACTGTTGATGTCGGTCCTTTTGGAGTAGAAATGAACCATACCGAGAAAAATAGGAATGAGAGTATAATAGCACCGAACACCGTCGTAGACAATCTTGTCAAACTCTTCTGATCGCAAAGAATTGTATACAACGAGCCTCCTCTCACCAATGGATAATCGTCCCAGTACCCAGTGACCAACACCGTTCAAATCAATATGAATTGGAAAGAGGATATGATCAACATTAAACCACGACTCTCCACAAATTATCTTGTATCCCATTATGTAATCAACAACAATGTTGTCCAAAGAACACACACCCGTATCGCACCCTCTCGAGACATATAAGTCAAACAGAGCTTGATTCTCTGATGAAAGAGAACGTCGGTGGTGGTGTACTGTACGACGTTGTTAGAACCATATGGTCTACGCTTCCTCAGATAGTAGAATAAAACATCCATATGCTGTATAGACATGATAATTCATAGTGATTAGCAGGATCTTAAAAAATTTATTTATAATAATATAATGGCATGCACAGTTGTAGTAACTATGTACTTACAGTGTCATCAAGGAAGGAACCAGGTTCAACCAGAGTCATAAACCAATTCTTATCAGTGATATGGTGAACATTGAAGTCGAATGGCGGTATCAGCGGCCTGAATCTCTTAAGGTAGTGCTCGAACTTGTTCAAAAAATAATAATTATGACATCGTGTGTATTGTATTACCAACACTGAATTTATGTTTTTATGACAATATAGAAGAATGTCCCCATTTGTAAACAAACTATACAACACTTAGATTGTTTAAAATAAATTAAAAAAAATAAATTTTACTAATACTTACTAAACAGTAATATATCCCGTAATATAAATAGTAAATATACAATATTATATAACTTACTCGTGTTCACGGATCTTTCGATAAGTCCGAAGCGTACCCATTCTTAGTCACCTCATGAAATCCTCTGTGTCAACTTCAAATATATTCTTCCAGAACGGAACATTGAATGGACTTGAATTTTTAATTACATTCCGTTTATATGAAGTGGCTATAACAGGATTTAACACAGGTGGTTTCATAGGCTTAGCAAGTATGGACACACCTAACACATCGTTGGGTCCATTATTAGTTGTTTGAACGGGGACTTCCCCTTTTTCCTACAAAGTAGATAAACCATAATAAATTAGTAAAAACATCGTTTACGAATAGATTGTTATGTTAATCATGATAGGCTAAAAAATATCGAAATATAAATTGAAAAAGTAACTCACACTAACACTAGTATGGTTCACATCTCTTGAAGGTTGTGTTGGAGGTAGATCTTTCGTTATTGCGTCAAATGATGGTTGAGACACAATGATCGGTTCGGATATGAGACTGATGCGTTCATTCAGTGAAAGGCCATAGCCTGCAACTTCCTAAACAATATATTATGTATATGTTTATCTAATGTATATGTTTAATGTATATCAACTAAAACGGAAAAAAAAAAAAAAAACATAATTTTTAATTTTTAAACCTTTCCCTTGCCAGTAGATCGACTTTTTGTTATTCCTTCAGTAGCCTTATCAATTTCGGCAAAAAATTGAGTATTCATGGGAGAGAACATGTCATCATCACCATCACATTGGTTCATAGCAACGTCGTGGGATGTGCCGTTCATAGCATTCTGGTTGATTGCTTCATCAGTCTTGCCCTTCATAGCATTCTGGTTGAATGCTTCATCAGTCTATTGGTAGAAACAGAAAATATAATCGATGACATTAAACAAATATCCAGGTATACTATCTATATAGAGTATATATATACATTATATAAACAAAAATAATAAATAACTATAAAAGTACATATTCAGTTATACTATACATATATTGTATATAAACATTATATAAATAGTAGATGTTAATTTAGACAAATTAGCATAATTAAAATTTGTGTTTAACATACTAGGTTTGGATCATTTCCCACGTCGGTATCTCGTCCAACTGGGTCATCGACTTCCTGAAATTTTTGCAAGGACAATATTTGGTAAAAAAAGAAAAAATGATATTATCAGGTTGAACAATTCTAATTTTGAATTACACATAACAAAACTAACCTTTGACTGAGGATGACCTGCATTGGCACCGCCCTTGTCATTGTTTGGACCGTCGGATACAAATTGATCATGTGATGGTGCAACAAGATTTCCACCCTATTTAGAAAATGATTCGGGGAAAAAAAATAAATATATGAATAAATATGGAAAAAATAAAACTTTTCATTACCATTATAAATTATATTTATATAGATAAACGCACCAACTGATCCAATCGCTTCAAAACAGTGACAGAGAAATCATGAAACAGCTTCTTCAGCGCTTGAAGATCATTGGCCATTTCTGTCTGCTTTCTTCCCAACTCATCCAATCGGTTCAAGATCCCTGATTGGCTGTGCGTTGGAGCATGCGGTGATGAATCGTCATCAACCAGAAATTCATTTCTTTTCTTGAAGAACCCATTCAAAGTAAGACTGGATTTCTCAATAGTTGTCGGACTCAAGTTGTTGAACTGAAAACGTTAATGATTATAAAGGCATCAGAAAATGTCGGTACCGTATATTATTGTAATAAAAAAATGAAAGATAGTAATGGAGATTGTAAACATACCTTGTCATGTGGCAAGTTCATGAAATGTCTCTGAAGTTTCGATCTGTTGTGGGTTTCCTTAACCTCCCACCTCAACATACGAGGCACATCTTCACCGACATTGCGTGTGCAAATGAGACCATTAGCTGTGTCCCAGATCTCATAAAACCAGATTTGTAGTGCTAGGATAAATCCATAGCATCTGAATAGATATTCACTCTTTTCTTTGTCTCCTCTCGTATGCATCTTCTGCCGATTGGGCAACGTCTTCTTCAAATAATGAACAGTGAATTCGAACACCTCTTTCCACCATGCATACTCCTCACACTCATCGCTATCAATTATGTCGAGATAGCGTCTGTCAAGCAATAGTGTGTCCTGGGCCCCAAGTAAAAAATTTGCTAACAAGTGTAGCTTTGCAAATTTCACGGCGTCTTCATCATTCTTCCAGACCTTATAGATAAATTGACTTCGTATCTCTTGCCTACTCAATCGAAACCTGGAGAAGTATGTGTCGTAGAGACCGCCAGTCACTGTGGGGAAGGTTAATTTCTCGCTGGATACAATGCATGGCATTCCTGATATCAACGCAAACTCTTCTATGCCGAAACGGAGCATCTTCCCACCAAAATTCACCCACACCTCGTCAGACTTACGTTGATGTACCTCACGTAACAAAATCAAATTGACTAGCTGAGTCTGGAATTTACAGTGAGGTATGTCCAGGAATTTGCCGAACACAGTTTTCTTAAACATCTCGAGTTGGCCCTCGGTCAATAATTCTTTAATCTGGCTTATTGTGGAATCTTCCTTGCTGTTGTCGTTGCTATTGAGAATTTTGATGTGCTTCGTTCTTGGATTGGGTATGAGAAACTCCCATTCCTATAAGTACATAGCAAATGAAAGAGTATATTAATAATATGAAGTGGGTTAGCTAAAATGCTGAAATGAATCCAGTTGACAGAACATATATATTACACACACAATAATAGTATATTTAATGTAAATATATGTGTTAGGTAAACAAAATTGATGAATCCAATGTATGACTTACTAAAAAAAATCTAATGTATATATATACATAAGATAAACAAGATATAAACATTCATGAAATGCAATATACTTATACCACGATAACAAAAATTGGACATACACAATATTAGTATATTTAATGTAAATATATGTGTTAGGTAAACAAAATTGATGAATCCAATGTATGACTTACTAAAAAAAATCTAATGTATATATATACATAAGATAAACAAAATATAAACATTCATGAAATGCAATAAACATTCAGGAGTCCAACCAACGATAACAAAAATTGGACATAATTATCATTTGTTCACCTAATTCACCAAAAAATTTAATAAAAACCCACAGCAAAACTAACCAAAAAGATCATTATTTCATCTCATGTACAAAGGTATAAATTAGTCATCTAGCATTGACACATATACTTAAATAGCAGGCTAAAAAGTAGTCATATCTGGCAAAATATCATTTATTCACCAAAATAATAATAATAATAATAATATAAATAAATAACCCACCAGCAACACCAACCAAAGGTATCACTTTTGCAGTTCATTAACAAAGTATTGGAGTAGCAATATAGCATTGACACAAAAAACAGAATAAAACAGGGACATCAAAAAGTCACAATCCAAAGGCATGTTTACATTCTCTCCTACTCAATAGATCCATTCATAACTATAATCAAGATTATGAAAATCTACGCTCTTTAATTTCCCAAAAGTAAATATATAACTAAGCAAAACAATATTTTGAATCCCACTTTAGAAGTCCTCTCTTTTCGATCATAATAGAATAACAGACAACAGAAAATACATGTTCAAGTACACCTACCCTCATATCAAACTCAAACCTGAAGAATGTTTAACTCCCTAATTCAGTATATTCAGTATTAAAAAAAAAAACCAACTAAAACGAACCTAACAGATCACTACACAAGCACAAACACCAATTCAGTATAAGCAGCACTCAACAAAAAACCAACTATAATTTGATTCACTACAAATTTTGTTACAAACTTGGAAGTGTTTGAAACCATATAGCATAAGAACCCAAATACATAAAACAAATTTTTTTGGAGAGAAGTATATCGACCCCAAAGAATAATGCTGCCTGATAATATATTAAAATAGCTACCAGAAACTCAGAAAGAAGGCCATAACCACAGATGGTGAAGCACTAATAAGCTATAACAAAACAGAGGAAAGCAGTCTACAAGAGAAAGACTATTTTCCTAAACTGTAAATTTCTAACCCAATATGTGGAATTGCTCTCCCCACCCCCCCCTCTCCCAAGAGAAAGCAGTCACATTTCCAAACTGTAAATTTCTAATCACGTATAATTCTTTGGAAGAAAAAAAAATGAAAGAGTAGAAGAAGAGCATTTCAAATATTGCTATCCAAACTACTCTGTCAGATGACATCCAGGTTAATTATAGTTGTGAACCCAAATACATAAAATTCAAACTTTTCAGATGATCATTTCACAAAGACACTCTCAAGTTTCACCAGAATCATTTCACACGCACGCACACACACAGAGAGGGNTTTGATTCACAACAAATAGTCACAACCGATAGTCACAACACTCAAAATAATAATACTTAATAATAATACTTTTTTTTAAGTCACAACAGACATAATAATATAAGTTTTTTTATTTTTTTTTTTATCTCGAAATATATAAATTCTTAATAATTAAAATAAGAACATTGATATTTTGAGTAGAATTATCGGGGACTCCTTTTGCTTGGTGTTGAGCCGATTTTTTCTTCGAGAAATCTCGTCGACGCTGTCGACGCTTACGGTTTTTTGCATCAAACTTTGGGATGTCCGAGCCCATGTCACTATCGTCATTTGATACATCCGCACCCACATCACTGGAATATGGTTCCTCCTCCTCTTCAAGTTGGTAATCCGAATCGGATATAGTAACATCTTTCGATTTAACCTGTTTTCCTCGAACCATCTTCTTGTTGGTGTCGTCCGCCACCTTATTTTATTTTATTTTTTATTTATTTTACGTTCGGAGACAAAATCGTCGCCGACATCCGACTCACCGTCCGCGGTCTTCGGAATAGAATTTTTGCCACGATTCGGAGCCTCCATTTTCTGAAATTGGAGCTTTTTTTGTACAACCTTGCGCTCGGGAGGTTGAAATTGCGATTTTTGACGAGATTGGGAGCGGGTTATCCTTGATTCGTCTTCAATTTCGGATGGATTGCCCTCAATTTTTGTTCGCTTCGACATTGTTCTTCTCTGCGATTTTTGTTCTTCTCAATTTTCTGAAATTGCGATTTTTGTTCTTCTCAATTTTTTCTTGTATGAGAGATGAAGTTTTTCTGGGAGAGATAAAGAAGTTACCGAGATATGGAGAGATAAAGGTGATNTTTTTATTATGTTGAGTGTAAAGATGGAGAGATAATCACGGTTCCCAAAAAATCAGGCCAAACTTAACTGCAATAAATATTACTTTAATTATTAAATAACGTAATTGTGATGAAAAGTTTTTGAGGTTGTAAATTTAAAATTATTTAGGGGATGGAATATAAAGGGGGTAAATTTCTCATTCATAAGTTTATTCTTAATTTAGCACCAAACATAAATATTTATTCAAATGGACTTTTGCATCCAAAAGTCCATTTAAAAATATTTCCAAACAAGCTCTAAAGTCTATCCACTTTCTTGGACTGATAAGTCTAAATAAATAACAAGCAGTAACAGTGGCAGCACAGCACTACCCGATACGGATGGCCACCAACAAAGCCGCCGTCATAGCTTGGTTTGCTCCGACGCCCGTGCGCTCTGCTATTTATCTACTTTTGTTCTTTCTTACTTTGTGCTTCACTTGATTTTCAGGGGTTCTGGTGAAGACGGCCAGTTAGGAATAGGCAACAATGAAGAGAGAGAATGGGTTTGCACCATCACCTCCCTCCGCTCCCAAAACGTCTGCTCTGTCGTCGCGGGAAGCCGCAACTCTCTCGCCATTTGTGAAGATGGCAAGGTCTGTTTGTTACAGCCTTTTACTATTTATTTGCTTCTTTCTTTTCTTTTTCTTCTTCTTCTTCTTTATGTCCGAGTATTGTTCTTTCTGTTTTCGTGATGTTACAATTTTATTTTGTTCTTGGTTTCCTTTACCTTCAAACTTTAGCTGTTCACATGGGGCTGGAACCAAAGGGGGACGCTAGGGCATCCGCCAGAAACGAAAACCGAGAATGTTCCTAGTCAAGTTAAGGCTCTTGCCAATGTCAAAATCGTTCAGGTATTCACCTTTTTTTTTTATTCTTTTAATCTTAGTTTTGGACTAGAAGTTGGTGAAGAATAAACTTGAATACTGTTTTCAAGCTAAGTGATTTGGTTTTAATATCACAGGCTGCTATTGGTGGTTGGCACTGCTTGGCTGTTGATGATCAGGGTCGAGCTTATGCGTGGGGTATGTATACTGTGCTGCTTGACATACCCCCCCTTTTCCCTCTACTTGAAAAATGCAAATAACTGGACAGTTAATTTATTGTAGTACTCGACAACATGGGATGTAGAGTTGTTGACGATCAGTGGAAACTCAAACTTGAGTTTCTTAAGTACTGTAGAAAGTGACTGGATGATTTGAAGTGCCGCATGAGTATTTAGACCACCCTATGTATTTCTAAAGGTTTGCGTCTTTTATACTGTAGGTGGTAATGAGTATGGACAGTGTGGTGAAGAGCCTGAGCGTAAGGATGATACAGGCAGACCAGTTAGAAGGGATATTGTCATTCCACAGAGATGTGTACCCAAACTTTCAGTTCGTCAGGTGACTCAACATGTCTTGATTAATGCATCTCAAGGATTCATTCTCTATGCATAATGACTGTTAACTAAGTTTTATGGAAGTCTACTGCGGGACATTGGATGTGTGGTGACCAGATTTTAGTTTTGCATCTGATAATTGTATGTGTTCATTGGCCGAAAGGAAACTAATCAGCCTCTGTAATCATGTGCTCCATTCCTATTGTATTACTTGTCAATTTAGAAGCTTAATTTTTTACAAATTAATTATTCTTTTAGAGTTTTTGCCTCTAGTTTCCAACTCATTCCCTACTTATTTTGAGAATGAAAAAAAAAATAAAAAACTTATGAGAATAAGATGCTACTGAAGAGAGAGAGAGAGAGAAAGATTAATTAGGAATATTGTATCAATTATGGGTGCTATAGTCAAGTTTTTATGTTCTTTAATTTTAAACCGAAACTTTAAAATGACACTTAAACAAAAAATTCAAAATAGAGCAACATTCTTCATCCTTCCTTTTACTGTTAATCCAGGGTGGAAATGTATGGATAGGAGTGTTGCCAATATCTGAATTCGTGATTGACGGTCCTAACCATCTCAACAGGTAGCTGCTGGTGGCACACATTCAGTTGTTCTAACAAGAGAAGGACATGTATGGACATGGGGCCAGCCATGGCCCCCTGGAGATATGTAAGTCTGGAAAATTGTGTGTGGAATGTGTTTATTGTGTGAGTTACGCCATCCTTTCGTGAAAGCATTATGTGATCAGTGATCTCATGATATCTGCACTAGTGGCTGACTCAGATTTAAACCACTTTTGCAGAAAACAAATTTCCACTCCGGTTAGAGTCCAAGGCCTTGATAATGTGAAAGTGATTGCAGTTGGAGCTTTTCATAACTTGGCTCTGCTTGATGACGGAACTGTAATGGCATGGGGGAATAATGAGTATGGTCAACTTGGTACTGGTGATACCCAGCCTAGGTCGCAGCCTATTGCAGTCCAGGGTCTCTCAGATCTGAAAATGGTCAGTAATGCTTTATTTCCATCTTCATGTTCCATCTGGAACTGTTATTTTCTTACATTATGGCCTCTATCTTGTGAGCATTAAGTTCTGCTGTCAAAATACTGACTTCATACTGTTATTTTCAGTAATAACGACACTTGAAGTGACTAAGAAAAGATGACGATAATAATTTCGGCATAAGAAAAATTGACCTAAACCTAGAAAGCACCTAAATTTAGTTGGGATATGATATCAGGGAAGGGTAAATACATTAATAATGCTTCTTGGAAATAAAATCTGTTGACAGTGGGCATTTGGTTAATCACCTCCCAGTATGACAATGGTTGAACCAGTTGATGAACCTAACAGATAAAAGCTATTAAACATTTCAAATTCAAGATTATTTGGCCTTTATCTGCTCTGTATTGTATAACCAAGCATAAAATTAATGATAAATTTTCTATTTGTAGATGATTAAAGCGTACTCCATTTGTATGCTTATGATTTTATTCAATTTTGAAATGTAAGGCTTTCGATTGGTTTGCAGGTTGATATTGCTGCAGGGGGATGGCATTCTACTGCAATGACTGATGATGGAGAGGTACATAATAAATTGTTTATTATTCATCGACTCAATATTAACTTATGTATGCATGAACCTTGTTCTTTTATTTTCCCCAAAAAAAGGGAAAAAAGAGAAAAGTAGTTACCATGTCCAGGGTGAATTCATCTTTCCCATGTAATATATCCTTATTTTGTCATGATATATCTTAGTTTTGTTTTGAGACGTTTATATCAACTTTACTTTTCTTCATTATTTCATCACTACGTTTTTATCAAATGTCCAAAGTATTACGATGAGAACATTGAGTTTCGCCCAAAAGATATTTAACTTTTTTGTCTATTATTTGGATAATAGATGTTTGTTTTTACCGGTGATTATCTAAAACAGTTCCATTTTTGTTCATTGTCTAAAAACATTTTTTTCTTAGTACATCACATTTCTAACGAAATCCGATCTCTGCATTATCCCAAGATGCCTTATTTAGAGATATCCAAGACTTTCGGATTAAGGAAAACAATCAGTTTCGCGGAACTCCTAAAATCATGTTCTGCATTTGTACTTACATGGTTATGAGAACAACTTCCTCGCCACATGCTCATCACCCCTTTGCTGCCCTTGGAACAATTTCTCTGGACTAACCTGTCAGTTTAATATTATTGTTTTTGGATGGTTAAGGAAATTTAGTTGTGTGAACATCATAAAATCATATATAGGATACACTATCATATCTTGCTTCCAGTGGTTCAATTTTTACATTGAACTCACTCGAGAAAATGAATGTTAAAGCTATTTTGTAAAACTACATGTAGTCCGTATTTATACAACTGTTAAAGCCTCTGGTGGCGAAATTTGATTGATGTTACTTTTATTGACCTGGATTGACTGCTAGAATCAATAATCTGTGTCAGAACTGGGTCATGACCCCTGAAATTTCAGTTTAGGTGCATGAGTTTGTGTTTCCTGTTTTCTTATTCTTATTCCTTGTATTTTCTTGTTCTTTTATATATATGCATACAATCTATACTTCATATTTTGTGGATATTCTTGAACCCTTATTTTGGCCTTCGGTTCGTTGGTATAAAATGCGACTGTCCATTGATTTCTTGTCTTCCTTGTAGGTTTACGGTTGGGGAAGAGGGGAACATGGGAGGCTCGGGTTCGGGGATGACAAGAGCAGCAAAATGGTTCCTCAAAGGGTTCAACTTCTGGTGGGCGAGGACATTGTGCAGGTATGACTGTGTTTACAAATTTCTAACTAGTTGTTTAATGAACTTTGTATTACATTTTGTCAAGTCTAAGATGGCGTTTTCAAATATGATGAAAGACTAATTCACACAGCCGTCAATATCCTTCATCACCTTCAGAGGCGATATTGCTTTTACTGACGAGTGTGGAAAATGCTAATAAAACATCACAGTTCGAATGTGCTGATACATTCTTAGTTGCCAATCATTGTAGTATGTAACGTTTGATGTTTTAGTTATGAAATTCGTATGATGATTAAATCTCGTTTGCTGTTTTAGTTATGGAATTTGTAAGATGATTAAATCTCGTTATCATTTATTGTGGTCCATCTGATTTGGCCATTTCCTTTCTTTTGTCTTGTTTTCTCCTTTTGCTTTCGTCACCGTCAATTTGGGATTTCCCAGGAATGTGTACGGCACTTTTATTCATTATGCTCATATGTGTCATCTGATAGTTCTTATTATTCTCATGCAGGTTTCATGTGGAGGCACCCACTCCGTAGCATTAACACGCGATGGCCGCATGTACTCTGTAAGCACGTCACCATTTTCACAAGAACAAATGGTCACTGCTACGTTATAGTAGTGAACAAAACCACCAACTTTCTTAAACACAATAACCATTGAGGCATAACTAATTATATATTATTTTTACTTTTTCTTTTNAGTGGCAGCCTCGCATGCTTCGGAATCCTACCTGGCGAAAAAACATGCTTCGTAGTTTGGTTTGGATAAAAAATAATATTATTCTAAATCAATAATTTTAGGTTCGGACATTCTAAAAATATTGGATAACTAACGTGATAATTCCATAATAGTTTGACTAATATAACCCTTAAGTTGTACTGGAACTTTTTGTAATGGTATTAATTGACTAATATAACCTTGATTTGTTTTGGAAGCTCTCAATCGGCTCATTAATTTCCATGAAAACCTCAAATTAACCTAACAAATACATATATGTAATTTTAAACAATTGCTGCTGTTATTATTATTTAATTTTAGAAATAAATTTCATAACAAGTACCCGTGTAGTACACGGGTATTGTACTAGTTTTGATTTAATTCTGAACTTAAAATTTTACTTGGTGTTGAAAATGGCAGTTTGGGAGAGGAGACCATGGTCGTTTGGGGTATGGAAGGAAGGTAACAACAGGGCATCCTGCTGAGGTTCCTATAAACATTCTCCCACCTCCTAAGGCTCTTGATGGGGCTGATGCTGAGGGTCGTTGGTGTGCTACGCTCGTTGCCTGTGGAGGCCGCCACACGCTAGCAGTTGTCGAATGGCGTGATCATGAATTCCAACAGATGCTCTGATGACGTTTTAATCCTAGTGGACAACACTTCATCTTGTATCATAGTTGGATAAAGTTGAGAAGATCAATGGAGGAGGTAAGAAATATTTGTACTTTAAAAGAGCCATGTTTTTTAGTGTTTGGGACAAGCTAGCTTCTGAGAAGTTTTTCTTGCAAGTGAATACTGTTTATGGACTGGGTGTTAATGATATCACAGTAACCTATGGATTGCAGCTGTTATTTTCTTGCCTCTGATCTTAGGTATTTGGATGATTTGTGAGAGTATGCATGTTCTTGCATCTTTCCATTTAGCTATCATTTGTTGAATATATTACGTAGGTTGTCACGGTCTCTTCTATCACCGTCATATTATATTTTGACTGAGATGTCAATGTGTGCATCCCACATGCAAATTCAAGGAATCATAGTGTACTTGTTACAGTTGTTTGCTACAGTATGTTGAAATGTACAATTCAAGAAATCATAGTATAAATCGAGCCTCAAAACAAAAGAGCTTGACAATAACCTAACTACACTTTGTCGACTCTTGTGGTTGCGTATATTACTTGATGTTTGATGCCATTCCTCAGTATACACGATTAACTGTTAAGAGACGGTCCATATCTGCTGCTAAAGTATTCCGGCATGTAGAAGCAGTAGGTAGAGAAACTGGCTCACTACTGATATCGCGATAAATGCTTCTAGTGTTTGCTGTAATTTTAAATATTTGTTAAAACTTCAACCTGCTGTCATTGGCAATACATAAATAATAGAGCTGCAAATATGGTACTATAGAGTGACATCTTACCAAGCGTTTACCCCTATGCCCTCCCATTATTATCTGCTTGCAGACAAACCTGTATTCAGTGGAGAACATTTCCATTAGTGTTAGAAAGTATTTAACTGTACACAGGTTTGTTCATTACGAGTAGCTGCCCAAATGGAGGAGGAACTGCAGATAACACTTTCAGACTTTTAATTTGTTGAACTCAGGTAACAAACAAGTTTTCTTAGCTTCTAGTCTACTTCCGTAAAGGTGAGCGAAAGTTTTGAAAAGGAATTTTATCCACGTTTTCCTAAATTTTCCAATATTTATATCGATCAATTGCTAAAGACATACTGTTGCAACTAGGCAACACTTCACGAGTAGTTTTTTCCAACCATTAACTTAAAAATGACAATGAGAAGTAATTTTTACGACCATAAGGGCATCCACATGCCTTATCATTCATTTAGTCACAAACTGCGATCTCTTTCATCCACATCATCTTCACCTCATTATTCTACTAAACATCTCTCCATTTAAACACTCTTCCACGTTCGTTGAATCATTTAAATACTCACGTGAGGTCCACTTTATGCCTTTTAAATTATATTCAATCCATTAAAATGAAAATGAATATGTGGAACCCACTTTCTCTCTACCAAATGCCATTCAATCCATTGAATGAAACATATGGGTTCTACCATTTTCATCAATTAAATGAATGGCTACATTGGTGTTAATGAATCTTGCACCCATTTAAATGACAATTAAATGTGCCAATGTATATGTCCTAAGAGCATCTACATGAAAGATACAGGTTACATACAAAATAGACCCACTCTAGAAAAATATATACTCCAATGCAAATGCAATTGGACTGAGTCCTGCTGATGTGACAGCAAGAAAATGAGACTCGGTCTACCCAATTAGAGACCTAGTCCGTTAATTTTTTTACTTTTTTATATTTTAGTCCATGTCATCAAAGACTCAAGTCTATTTACATGTCATGTAAGCAAAATTAGACCCTAAGTATTGTACATGCTCTAAGAACAAAAACATGAAGAACAAAAATTTGTGATGGGGTATGACTATTACCCGAAAGCAAGCACGGTTAGGGCCCACGTCATAAATGTTGATGCGGTAGCACTGGCAAGGGTCACGTTATCCCATGCGCGAAGATGAGCAAACCCTAGTAACACTGAGCACAAGCCTATTGCTCCCGCAACCAATGCATATATGATTAGGAAAATTGTAGAAGGATTCCCGCCTAGATCTGGATAAAGAAACAAACTACTGTTGAAGTTGTTCGTGTCTCGAGTCTTATAATCGACCAAGAAATACGTGAGCTTAACTATGTGCTTGGACGATGTTGAGACTTGAGACTAATGCTTCCTCATTAAATACGTTACCAAATATAAGAGATGAATTTAAAAGATGAAATCCTGTATCCAAACTGAGATTTGTGCCTATATCTAAATTATACTCACGTGTGTGTATGTGAAAATAAAATAAATAAACAGAAGAATTATCCCCATCAACTTTACAGAAATAGAAAGGGCAAAAAAGAATAAGTGAAAACGGAGAGATTGAGAGTACGGGGATGATTTTGGTGGCCGTCGATGTATTTGTCGAGGGACCAAGCAGCGAGGCCGACGAGTATTATGTACACAACTAAGTTCACTGCCAATAATGGTCCCATTAACCTTCTTCCACCCCTTCCATGCGCCATTATTTACTAGTTTAATAATGAACTAGCTTAGCTACGTACCTCTTTCTTTTAATTTATATACTCCTCCTTTCTTTTGATTTATTTTTCTGTATATATATATCGCGCGGGGTGAGGGATATGAGATATGAAGCGATGAGGCATGGCGTGCGCGTCATGAGTGAGTACGTGGTTACTTCTACGGGACTCTACAATACAGGTGTTACTTTCTACTTATATATGCCTTTTTTAAAATTCTTCGTTATACTTGGTGGATAATAAATTCAGTAATTAATTCAATATTGTATTACATTATTGCTCATCCTAGATTATATTGGATATTCTTTATAATTGCTAAGTGGTTTCATACATGTTATACTAGTTACCTAAATGCAAATCAATATCTATATATATATATATATAAATATATATATAAAGAGGAGCAACAAAACATTAAATTATATTATCATGCATTAAATTTTATTATCCCTCCAAAACTTTTAGCATTCAATTTTATTAGTTTTCTGCATTTAATTTTATTATCCCTCCAAAATTTTCAATATTCAATTTTATTAGTTTTCACATACCACCTAAAACTGTTACATTCGGTTACAAAATATTTTATTTATTTATTTATTTTTTTTCTTTACTCATCTCAATTGTGTAACTTTTTTACCACCTCTTCCCCATCAATCACATTATGTAACAATAATTATTTGATCTGATCTGGAAAAATTCATACTTATTTCCTTTTCAAATTTCATTTATCTTTGATTACATAAAAATAGTTTTTTACAATAATTCAGATTCCAAAATGATGTAATGCTCATTCTTCAATATGATATGACAGGATTCATGCCTATTTCATTTTCACTTTACTTATTTGTTGAATGAATGTAATAAAATTAATATTATATATATATATATATATATTCAAATTTTTTATGCTTGAGTACGTAAAAATGATTCACATAATAATTCAGATTCCAAAATTACAAAATCAAATAATTAAAAAATAAAACTAAAAATATCCAGTCATCTATTTCAATATATATATATATATATATAGAGGATGTGGTTCAAATGAGAACTAAGTCTTATAGTGAGAACCGTGAGAAACGCTATTTTTATTGTATAAATCAATATCTCATTATCATGTTGCCATATTCAAATTTTATATATTCTTTCTTATTCTCAATCCAAATGTTATGGTGCAATATTATGTTACTAATGTCATTTAACTAAAAAGCATTACCTAATCAAGAGATGTCAAATTTTCAATGGCGTTATATTAAAATATTGTATATAAAATATAAATGTTGTATATAAAATATTTTTTAATAATATTTAGAATTATTTTCTTAATTAATATTTTTTCTTGAATTAAATTATGACTTATTATTTTTATTTTTCTTATTTTCTTTTCTATGAATTTGTATCTGTGCAAATGCACAGATTGATTACTAGTAAGTATGTATAATTGCAGAGTTTTTCAAGTGTCCACTTATGGTACTATGCATAAATTTATGACGCTTTGTAATTAATATATCAATTTATGGTGTATTGAGTAGTCTGTGTAGGTTTAAATTTTTATCTATATTAAGATTTCTAAAAGTTATAAAATATTTTATTAACTTACATTATAGATATATTTTAAAATTTAATAATCTTTTATTTATAATCATTTTTCAATCAATTTGTAACTAACAAAGCTACTGTAAAGCTTAGCTCCTTTCAACTAGTCCAACTTGATACAATATATAATACTAGTACAACACCTTTGTATTACACGATATGTGTATTACACGAGTACTTGTATTACATGCATTTTATTATAATAATTTATATAACTTATATCATATAACTACTTGAAATATAAATATATTAATTGATAATTAATTTTATTTTTCTAATTAATATTACAAATAATTTTATTATTTTATAAAGATAAATATAATTTATTTTTTTATACATATAATATGGATGTTAAATCGAAGCTCATCAAGAGATGATTGATATATTATATATGTAAAACTGATAAAAATAACAAAAGTTATTAACTTTTAAAATACATTTACAATTCAATGGTTATAATAAGAATCGATATTAAAATGCAGTTAATACATGTAACATCTCCATAAATAATCAACATATTTATGGATAATCCGGACCTAATTATTTTTGGGTTGGAAGTAAATTAAAATCTACCCAAACATAATAACGAAGCATGTGATTTTGCCACATAGGATCCCGAAGCATGCGAGTCTGCCACTTAGGTTCAGCACATTCTGAATTAATATATAAGAGGGAAAAGGGATTTCAAACTACTCTTCTTTTGATGATCTTCAATATCCTATCAACAACACATATATAAAATAGAAAAATAACTATAACTACCTTTATGAAGGTGATGAGTGTTATTTTAAATAAAAATAATAATATATTATTTGAAAAAATATTTAAAAATATTATTTTTGTATTATTCAAAAGAATTTAATGACATTTTATTAATAAACATCCCATGTATTACACAGATATTATACTAGTATTTTAATACTCTTCATAGGTTAGATTGGACTGTTCATAACCTATGAAGAGTATTAAAATATTCTTAACGTTGAAAGCGCAGGCATCCCTTCTAGCAACCTTGATCACATATCGTTTAGGTTCGATGCAATTGACTCAACCTCAAGGAGAGAAAAGACCCTCGGATAGAGGGTTAGGCAGGTAGTATGGGCCCTCTGACTTCAAACTATGTGCTGTGTGGCTCCCAAAGAGCATCGAAATTTTTGACTTTAGAGAGTCGTTCTTTGAGAGAGATTTTATTAGCCTCCTCGCATCTACAAACTTTATCCCCCTACACATTATAAACCCCTTAGCGGACTTCATTCTGAACCCGATCCTTATCCGCCTTTCCCAAGGTAAACGGTTAGGTTGACTTGAAAAGGTTCCTAGTAAACAACACGTTAAAGAAAGCTTCTTACTTGTCACCACTACCACCATTGGACTGAGAGTGGCCTACTCTCAATACATCAAGCCTCTCATTTCAGTCGAGATTCCCTTCACTTTGCTTCACTTCGTTCCTCCCAGAAGCATAGCGTTTAGGCATTGATTCCCGTCAAAAGCAAATAAAGTGATGAGAGAAAAGTGAGACTCGATGGAAAGGAGATCAAAGTGAGGGGACGAAGTAGGCTCGACCAAAGGGAGAGGAGGGAGGCAATTGACGACCATAGGGAGAGGGTCTTCGAGGCCAATTACACCAAAAAAAGGAAGAAATTCCCAACTAGGAAGAACCTATTAGGAAAGATCAAGAGAACTGTGCAGTGAAGCCAATCCCCACCGATACCCTATCCCCGAATGGCATGCCACATAAAGGTAGCATGAGAGAAAGATAGAATGCAATGGAGCAACCTTATTCAACATCAAGTACCAGTCTTCCTAACCCGTAAAAGCTGCTTTTCTTCCTCGTCATTTTTTCTCTCTTAAGATATTTCCTTACGTGGAAGTAGTTCAAAGCTTGATTGCTTGCTTTTGAGTTTTGGAATGCCAATGTTCAAAGCGGAAAAAAAGAGACTGGTATGTCCTCCCTCTTTGCTAGCAATTAAGTTGATAGTAGGTCCCTCCCTGGCCCCGCAACCAAGAGTTGAGAATGAGATAAAGCCTCAGTTTTTTTTTGCCGTTTGTATACATCTTCTTTTTTTTTTTTTTTTTTGAACTCCGCTTTCACGTCTTGAAATCCTCGATTGAGCTAGTCAATGACGAACGCTTCCAAAAGCAACTACTTCTACTCTAGTCAATGACGCCATTTGTATACATCAGGATCTAGTATCTTTCTTGGTTTGGGATATTGGAGTGTAAAACATATGATCGCTTTAAATACATAATTACTTTTTTATTTATTATTGTATTATGTATTTCTATATTTTATGCTATAAGAATATAATATTTTTTTACTTTTTCATTTTTTTTATATATACAAATATATAAGCACCCGGTGCCGGTGTGTTACATTAACACTTTGACTCCAAGTGCCTTACAGGTAACAATGCAGAACACAAAGAAAAGGAAGACTAGCGGTCAAAACAAACCAGCCAAAATTGTACCAGAATCAGTACGGGAACCAGATTTCGATCAATGGGCGTTCATCACTACCAGGAGGCCGATCACTTGGTTCTTCTGCGTGAGCCTCTTCGCCCTTCTGATTCGCCTCGCCGTTGCGCTGCACCCCTACTCTGGCGCCCAAACGCCGCCGATGTTCGGAGATTACGAGGCTCAGCGTCACTGGATGGAGATTACGGTCAATCTTCCAGCTAAGGAGTGGTACCGCAACAGCACGGATAATGATCTTCGGTATTGGGGCCTCGATTACCCCCCACTGACGGCCTATCAGAGTTATTTCCATGGCCTTCTGTTAAAATACTTCGATCCTGCATCAGTCTTGCTACTCACGTCTCGTGGATACGAATCCTACCTTGGGTATTTGATCTTTCTGTTTTAGATATTTGAATTTCTGGAGAATACTTGATATTTTCATGATCATGATCTCCCAATGTTGCGATTTTTTTTCTCTCTCTAAGCATCAAACATATTAGCTGATTAAGGATTGAAATTGTGTCTTATCCTTCAATATTTTCTCGGTCTAGCTTAAATTGAACTTAGATGAGCTGAAATGCGGAAGTTACATAATGAATTTTAAGAATGTAACTGGGTTTGGATTCTAAGCACGGACTGATTTCTACTTTGTGGAGACTATTGAATTGTTATTGTTGAGGGATGTCCTGGTGCTCCACAGTTTCTATGTGCTGTAATTGTTATTGTGATACGGGACTGAACAAGCTATAGAGTTAGATTTGAAATATGGGAGCTTAATTATTGTTGTCAATTAGGATCTCAGAAAACAGTTTCTATTTGCTGTTTCTCATTTTCGTGATGTTTTTATGTAGGAAGCTGTTGATGAGGTGGACAGTTGTGATGTCTGATCTGATGATCTTCTTTCCTGCAGTGTTTTATTTTGTAATTGTCTATTACTCTGGGAAAACCAATGAGGAAAAGAGCAATATGGCCTGGCACGCTGTAATGATTTTGTTGAACCCATGTCTCATTCTGATTGATCATGGCCATTTTCAGGTAGGCAATAAAATGCTCAACGATGAATTTGTTTACATTGTGTAACTATAGGATGTATTACTGCAATTGACTTTCTTATTTCTTTTTCTCCCCTTTTGGGTTTCTTTCGCCTCCATTTTTGACGTCTTGATTCCATTATCTTCCAGTACAATTGTATTAGTTTGGGGTTAGCCATAGCAGCTGTTGCTGCTGTTCTATCAAGTAGAGACCTTCTTGGTTCTATGCTCTTTTGCCTCGCTCTCAACCATAAACAGGTGCTTCTCATTTTTATTTATTTTTGAATTTTCACCCATGTTGTCAGATTTTATTTAGTTGTGTGACTAGATAGGCTGTAGTTTTAAATGTCTCACTCTCACATTTCTCAACTGCTATAACCCAGAAACTGCTATATAAAAATGGATATGTAATTGCCCGAAATTTATATTCGACAACTTGTTCCTCCTTGTTAAGTGAGCATGATATATCTACTGTAAGAATTTTGGCACTGGAGGATTCTTTTCTTCATGTCTTTCTTTATACTAGTACGTAGAACGCACGGAATAGAGATATTAAATTAGCCATTTCCATAGAGTTTGTCCGTTAAGTAGCCCGTGCGATGCACGGGACATAGATATTAAATTAGTAACTTCCATAAGGCTTGTTCGTTAAGGCCTAAAAAAGAATAGAGTTGCATTATCTATTTTCTACCTCTTTTCATAAACGTCATCTTTTTGTCGGGACGTTAAACCTGAGCTGTTAGCGGTAGCCCGTAAATTAATCAATATATTACCCTTCTAACACGTGATATAAATTTGATTTTAGTATATATATTTATTTCTTGATATAAGAAAAATAACAATTTTATTTGTTCTTGTTCCTCGTACAATACTCAGTTATGATTTTATTATAAAATTTGTTGAAATATAATGTCATTATTAATATTTATAAAAGTTATAGTTGTAGTCTTTTTTTTTTTATGTAATGAAAATATTTAATGTACGTCAATATTATTTATTGATGTAATTAATTTAAATTATATAAATAAATTTAAATAAAACATTGTGTACAAATATTTTACAAAATATACACAAGTGTTTTTTTTAGAATTTATTTTTTTATATATTTTTCTATTTTGCATCATGAGACTTAATAGTTTATTCAACATATTGCGTAAAAATATATTTTAAAAGAATTTCACTATAGAAAGATACCAAAATAAAAAGATGAGAAAAAAATAATCATGGTTAACAATAATATACAAAGAAATCACATGCTGAAATTCTAAAAAATAGTTAATATATGTCAATTTCATTATCTAGCCATTAGTAAAATCATTTAATATATCTGGTCATTATCTCATAAATGGTAAATTATATTAATTTGAAGAATATTTTTTTTTATATATAATGAAATAATATGAAGATAAAAATTACTTAACATGTTACCATTTTCCATAAATATTTTAGGATGAAAAGTCAATATTTGTGAAAAAAATAATATGCTTAGAATTTAAAATATTTTTTAATGTCTATCTTGAAAATAAAATAATCAATATGAATCACGAAAAATTAAATTTATAATTTATTATAATGGATATTAATGAAATTATTGAAGATGTTAATAAAATTATTAAAAGAAAGAATCATTTTGATCATATTTGATTTGATAGGATTCTGAATTGTGTGTATGGAAGAAATTAATGCATATATTTTAAAAGTTTCCAAAGAAGTTATGCATTTAATGCTCCAAGATTTTTTGGCTACTATTTTTAGTAAATAGTTATTCTCTTTATGCATATATATGTATATATATAGATATAGATATGGATTCTAGTTTAGAAATTTCAAGGTTTCTACTTTGGTTACTTGCATCATTTCAATTGTTGATCATTTGCCTTTTTGCCTTGTTGTGTTCATCTTTCTACGTTAGTAATTAGAACTCATTGTTTGGGATGACAATTGGGTAAAATCTGTGTGGTCATGATGTTCTCTTATTAGGTAAAAATGTTAGTTGACCAGCTTTTTATGGTTCTCAACTTCTTCATTTGGTTACCTAGATTGGACTATTAATCACCACGTGCCTAACTTTACCGTTTCAACATCGTTGATTTTTAATATTTGTGTGTCATGATAAAATTGGTTGATACGATTTAAAAATAGTTTAAGAAAAAGCACGAGTGATGAAATAGATTAGGGTCCGAGCGCTATGATAGCTAACAAACTCGTGATATTCTTTGTGATGTATTACTTCAATCATCCCATCAAATTCAAATTCAATTAAATCTTGGATAAATTTTGGAAGCATTGATTATTAAAGAAATTTTTACATTTTTCTGTTTGTATTTGTTAGGGGGTACATAGGTGGGGAAGACATTGAAAGCCTGTATCAAAGGCTTTCAGAAATTATGTGCTTTCCAATTAGTGTTTGTCTAGTTGTGACACTTCATGGGGCTGTAGTTTTTTTTGCTTGTCTCAATTTCTTTAAACCAAAAAATGCAATATAAAAATGGAATTGTAATCGCCTGAAAATTATATTTTGTAACCATTTCCTCTTTTGCTTAGTAAGCATGATATGTACTCTACAGATTATCTACTATAAGAACTTGGGAGGTGGAGGATTCTTTTCTTCCTATGTTTTTCTTATATCCCTCTTTAAAAGTTTCAAGGTTTCTGTTTTGTGTTATTTGCATCTTTACAGTTGTTGATCATTTGCCTTTTTGATTGAGAAAGAACTTTGTGGTGGCCATCTTTCTAAGTTAGCGTAGTTCAAAGTCAATGTTTTGGGATGACACAGGTAAATTAGTGTGGTCATAAGTTTCCCGTTCCCGTATTAGGTCAAAATGTTAGTTGACAAGCTTTTATGGTTCATTCTTTTCTCTTTTCATCATTTCTGCGTGTGCCCTGCATAGTTGATAATACTTGTGATGTAAGCGGTTTTATTGTTTCATTCTTAAAAAGGACAATGCCTTTACTCATAAAGTACAGTAAATCAATCTTATAATAAAGTACTAAATCGAATTTTATTGAACATCATCTGGATGTGATATAATTGAGAGTAGCAGGTTATTCTGCAGCAATATGACTGTATGCGACAGGAAGGTTGTTATCTGTTTTTCTAAAAGGTTACATTATCTGGACCCATTTGATCTTAAAATGGAATTGCTACAAGCCTGCCAATTACATTCTGTAACCATTTCCTCTTTTACTGAGTAAGCATGTTATGTACTCTGCAGATTATCTACTGTAAGAACTTTGGAGGAGTTTTTTTTTTTTCTTCCCATGTTTTTTTTATATTTTACTTTAAATTTTTCAAGGCTTCTATTTTGCGTTATTTGCATTGTTGTCGATTATTTACGTTTTTGATTGAAAAAGAATTTTGTGGTTGCCATCTTTCTAACATACGTAGTTCGAACTCAACTTTTTGGGATGAGACTTGGGTAAAATTAGCGTGGTCATAAGGTTCCCCTTTCATCTTTTAGGTCAAAATGTTAGTTGACCAGCTTCTATGGTTCGTTTTTTCCCTTTCCATTCATTTTTCTGTGTGTGTCCTGCATAGTTTATAATNAAAAAAAAAAGAAAAAAAAAAAAGAAAAATAGAATGCCTAACTCATAAAGTACAGTAAATCGATCTTATAATAAACTGAATTTTCGATTGAACATCATCTGGATATGATATAAATTAGAGTAGGAGGTTGTTCTGCAGCAATATCTCAACAGGAAGGTTGTTTGGTTTTCTGAAAAAGATGATACTATCTGACCCAGTTGATCGTATTTTTCCTGGACTTATACAAGTTCCCTTGAAGATAATGGAGATTGAACTACCTGGAATATGGTTTCTCTGTCTAAGAGGAATTTGTGGTTACCAAATCTGAACATGTTTATAGCTCATCATTTTGTTTGTCATTTTCTTCTCTTTTGGCTTTCAGATGAGTGCATATTACGCACCTGCTTTTTTTGGCTATCTTCTGGGCAAGAGTTTGAGGCGCCAAAATCCGATCCTTGAAGTCTTAAAACTAGGTTTGGTAGTGTTGGGGACCTTTGCTGTAATTTGGTGGCCATATCTTTATTCAGTGGATGCATCCTTGGAGGTAAATTACTTTATTCTATTCCTTGGTTTCTTTTTCTAATTCATAGGTTCATTATATTTTCTCCTGATCATGTAATGGGCTCTGTTTTCTTGACTTAGGATATGCATTTTCTTTAGCATCGTCTAGGGTCTTACAAGCGGCTTATAGCATTTTCTTTTTACGTTGCTTGGGGTACAATTGACATGCATTTTGTGTATGATTCATTATTCAAGTTTTAGCAGGATGTTACAAAAGGACTTTTGAATGTACAAAAGTTGCTCATCTTTGTAACCAATCCTAAAACTGTTAGAAGTTACGCCCCATTTCCTTCAATTAGTTGATACAAATTTTCCATCACTGTTCGATATTTTCAATCAGCCTTGATTGTTGGGATTTGGGAACAAGGGAATAAATTGACCTTAAAGTATAAATGTGCAGTGGCTTTTGAAATTGCTCTCATTGTATGAATATTTGTTTCTTGGTATGGGCCATATTATTGAGTTTCCATGACATAATTGTTCATCTTATGGTTAATTGCATGTTTACTCAAGTACTAAGACTCACAAGTTACCTATAACTGAAAAGTAATTATACTTGCACATATTTGGTGACTCATAGTTCTAACTGATGCTTGGAACAGGTTCTTTCTCGCTTAGCCCCCTTTGATAGAGGAATTTATGAGGATTACGTTGCCAACTTTTGGTGCACAACTACAGTCCTGGTTAAATGGAAGAAATTATTCACTATCCAGTCACTTAAACTTCTCAGTCTCACTGCAACTGTTTCCACTTTTCTTCCTTCTATGATTCATCTTGTACGGTCACCAACCAAACGTGGCTTTCTTCTTGGATTGCTAAACTCCTCTCTCTCATTTTATCTATTCTCATTCCAGGGTACGTAAAACAATTCTCACGCCAAATCTTTTATCCCCCCCTCCTTTTCAGTATTATTATTATTATTGGTGGTTAAATTTCGCAGTACATGAGAAATCAATCCTGCTGCCAATTCTGCCGGCAAGCCTTCTGGCCTTGGAAGAACCATTTGTTTTTCGGTGGTTGATATATCATGCTATGCTGTCAATGTTCCCTCTCGTAAGTCGTGATAAATTGGTACTTGCTTATGGTGCTCTTTATGGCCTTTTCATCCTCCTCTACCATGCGCCCTGTGGAAGGAAAGATACAAAAACCGAGACTGGTCCTTTTCCTTCCATTTTGAAGTCATTTGCACTTGCCTGCTCCTTTTCCCTTCATTTTGTCTACTTGACGGTTACCCCTCTGCATAAATATCCCTACCTCTTGGAAGCTGTTATTATGCTCTTCTGTTTCTCGCAGTTTGTCTTGATTTCGATATATTCAAATTCGAAACAATGGGAGGTTTCTTGGACTTCTCGAGTGGATGATGAAAAGAAGAGCCTCTGATGTACTTCTGGTGAACAGATTATTTTGCGAGGCATGCCGTAGTTTTGAGATATTCAGAAAGTTGGAGGAATTTGAGCCTGTGTCTGAGGCTCTTTTATAGTTTAGTATGTCACTAATGATGATTTGGATTTCAACATCTCATTCCTCTGTATACTTGGAAGTTTTGTCTTACGACAAGTGACCCTGTGTCAAATTTCATCATCACAATCCTTTGACTGAATTTGGAGTTTCCTT